CGGTGGACTACCGTGGCCTGAATGAAGTCACACCCCCACTGAGTGCTGCTGTGCCGGACATGTTAGAACTCCAGTATGAACTGGAGTCAAAAGCAGCCAAATGGTATGCCACCATTGACATTGCTAATGCCTTCTTTTCCATTCCTTTGGCCAAAGAATGTAAGCCACAGTTTGCTTTCACCTGGAGGGGCATTCAGTATACCTGGAACCGTTTGCCCCAGGGGTGGAAACACAGCCCGACCATTTGCCATGGGTTGATCCAAACTGTATTGGAACAGGGCAGTGCTCCTGAGCACCTGCAGTACATTGATGACATCATTGTGTGGGGCCATACAGCAGAAGAAGTCTTCACGAAAGGAGAGCGAATGATCCAAATTCTTCTGAGTGCTGGTTTTGCTATTAAGCGAAGCAAAGTGAAAGGACCTGCCCAGGAGATTCAGTTCCTAGGCATAAAGTGGCAAGATGGCCGTCGTCACATCCTGACAGATGTGATCAACAAAATCAATGCTATGTCTCCACCCACTAGCAAAAGAGAGACACAATCTTTTCCGGGTGCAGTGGGCTTTTGGAGAATGCATGTTCCAAACTACAGCCTCATTGTAAGCCCCCTTTATTATGTGACGCGAATGAGAAATGAGTTTACATGGGGCCCTGAGCAGCAGCAGGCTTTTGAACAGATTAAACAGGAGATAGCCCGTGCCGTGGCCCTGGGGCCAGTACGAATGGAACAGGGTATAAAGAACATCCTCTATACTGCTGCTGGAGAGAACGGTCCCACTTGGAGTCTGTGGCAAAGAGCCTCGGGAGAGACCCGGGGCCGACCCCTGGGATTCTGGAGTCGGGCGTACAGAGGGTCTGAAGAGCACTACACTCCAAATGAGATCTTAGCTGCATATGAGGGGGTTCGGGCTGCTTCTGAAGTAGTCGGTACTGAAACACAGCTCCTTCTGGCACCTCGACTGCCAGTGCTGAACTGGATGTTTAAAGGAGAGGTTCCCTCCACCCATCATGCTACTGATGCCACTTGGAATAAGTGGATTGCACTGATTACACAACGAGCACGGATGGAGAACCTCAGCCGTCCAGGAATCCTAGAGGTGATCATGGACTGGCCTGAAGGTAAAAAGTTTGGAACACCACCAGCAGAAGAAGTATCACGTGCTAAAGAAGCCCCACCATACAATGAACTACCAGAGGATGAAAAGAAATATGCCCTGTTCACAGATGGATCGTGTCGTATTGTGGGAAAGCATCGCAGATGGAAATCTGCTGTGTGGAGCCCCACACGACAAGTTGCAGAGGCCACTGAAGGGAAAGGAGAATCGAGCCAATGTGCAGAGGTAAAGGCTGTCCAACTGGCCTTAGATGTTGCTGAACGGGAGAGGTGGCCAATGCTCTATCTTTACACTGATTCATGGATGGTGGCAAATGCCTTATGGGGGTGGTTACAGCAGTGGGAGCAAAATAACTGGCAAAGAAGGGGTAAACCTATTTGGGCTGCTGAACTGTGGAAAGACATTGCTGCCCAAATAAAGAACATGGTTGTAAAGGTGCGCCATGTAGATGCTCATGTGCCCAAGAGTCGGGCTACTGAAGAACAGCAAAACAACCATCAGGTAGACCGAGCTGCCAGAATTGAGGTGGCTCAAATAGACCTGGACTGGCAGAACAAGGGTGAATTATTTCTGGCTCGGTGGGCCCATGAGACCTCAGGTCATCAAGGGAGAGATGCAACATACAAATGGGCCAGAGACCGAGGGGTGGACTTAACTATGGATGCCATTGCACAGGTTATTCATGACTGTGAAACATGTGCCATCATCAAACAAGCCAAGAGGATGAAACCTCTCTGGGAGGAAGGGCGATGGCAAAAGTACAAATATGGGAGGCATGGCAGGTTGATTCTATCACCTTGCCATGATCTCGCAAATGGTAAGCATTATGTGCTTACTATGGTGGAGGCAACCACTGGGTGGCTGGAAACATATGCAGTACCCCATGCTACCGCCCGTAACACCATATTAGGGCTTGAGAAACAAGTCCTGTGGCGACATGGCACCCCGGAAAGAATCGAGTCAGATAATGGGACTCATTTCAAAAATTCTCTTGTAAATACTTGGGCCAAAGATCATGGCATCGAGTGGATTTACCATATTCCCTATCATGCACCAGCCTCTGGTAAAATTGAACGATACAATGGATTGTTAAAAACGATGCTAAAAGCACTGGGTGGCGGAACATTTAAGCACTGGGAGAAGCATTTGGCAGAAGCCACCTGGTTAGTCAATACCAGAGGATCTATCAATCGTGATGGTCCTAACCAATCCAGTTCCCTACATACCGTAGAGGGAGATAAAGTCCCTGTTGTACATGTAAAGAACATGTTAGGAAAGGCAGTTTGGGTTCTTCCAGCTTCTGGAAAGGGCAAACCTCTCCGTGGTGCAGTTTTTGCCCAGGGACCAGTATCCACTTGGTGGGTAATGCAGAAGAATGGGGATGTCCAATGTGTACCACAGGGAAACTTGATGCCGGGGGAGTGCAGTTACTAATTCTATGTATATATATATATAGCCATGTGTGTGTAATGCATTGTAATCATTTTTTGTTTGTATATATGTATATATATTTTAAGCATGATGTAACGATGTAGAATAAGGGGTGGAATGTCATGGTTCTGTGTTTGTTTGTTTGTTTGTTTTGTTTTGGGTTTCAGTATTCCACATCAAAACATCATGCAGTGTACGGGGCATTGAAGTGTCACTGCCCCAATCCCAGCTACCTATCCCTGTACATTACAGCAGTCACGGGATCTGGCCCTTCTGGGTGGGGGGGCGCTCTCTTGCTGCCTTGCAGTGGGTGCTGGAGGTGCTTTCCTGGCCGTTCCAAGCTTTTCAGGTTTGACTCGGTCCCGGGAACTCTCTCTCTCTCATCTTGTCTGATTTATTAATCTCAATTTCAATTAAATTGTATATATTGTGTTATCTTGTATTCCAATATTATAGTAAAATAAGTTTTCCTCCATAGATTGTTGCCGCTGCTCTTTTCCTCCCTTCCTTCCTTCCCATTTTTGTGGGACTGGGGTGGGGGGGGAGGACAGAGGCCTGTCGCCCCTGTCACGGACATAGATTGATCTGATCAACTCCGTGACATGTCTAAAACATGGATCTTAATATTTTCAGTAGCTTTGTTTAATGAGAATAATTAGCATTTGAAATGTATCAGTTTCTAGATAGTGATAGCAAAATCTATGTAAACATTATTTTAATTCAGAAATGAACAAATTTATACCCCATGGAGTTATAATTTTTTCAACATATCTTAGTGTGCTGATTTGAGACAATATTTGAAAATATTAGTTTGTCTTTCAGAGAGGTTAGTGTTCTCTGCCCTACTCTTTAGAGATTTTTCCTCATTGCTCATTTTGATAGGTTGAACTTATGATAAGCTGGCTGATATTCTAAAACAAAACCAATCCTGAAACAAAGGTCATTATTAGCAAATATAAAATTTAGTCTTAAGGCATTAGAAGTCCAGCCAGCATAGCTTACAAAGATTTTAACACATAGAAAAGTAATGCTTAGTGTTGGCTCAACAAAGGACAGTTTGTAGCATGTTTAAAATATCAGTGTACAGCTATGACCAGAGAGAGCCTGTGGTAAGTATTGAACTTGTTCAGAATGTCACCATGACTACTTAATATTTTGCTTTCCATGGAACACTTTGTTGTGAACTTGGGTAACCTCTCTTCTGACTATATCTGGCTGTTAGGGTGTCAAAATGCAGTGCTCTTGAAGGCCTGTTTGTTCTGAGGTTTAGAAGAGAATGAGGTTAGATCACCTTAAGAGACTGTGAAATAGATTGGCTTTGGTGAATGTATTCATAAAGCTGGAGTAACACTGTTACAGTTCAAATCCAACTACAGTTGGTTCCTGGTAAAGGCAGGCTTTTTCTTGTTAAATATGCAAGAGTTAATGGAAATATACTTTCTCCTCAGGCTCTGCTGAGTGCTTTAACTATTACATTAAAAAAAGCATCAGTCTTGGGTTCAACTTTTTGCCAACAGAAACACATTTCTAAATACAAGATTGTAATGGGGTTAACTGTCTTTTCTGTAGATCAGTGTTTAAACTGTACCATCTCGTTGCAACTGCAGTTTTTGAGTACAATTCACTTGTGAAGTCTAGTGACCAGTTGGATATTGAGCAAATCCTTGTCTATGCAATCACAGTACTTTGCTCAGTTTTCATCCAAGACTTATACGTTGAACTCAGTGATAGCAAACTTGTGCCAAACCTACTTGCCCTGACAAGTTGTGTGCTGAGGCACATTCTTGCAGTGGGGCTGCAGTGAAAGGGCTTTGCTGCAGCTTTGCATATCTTCTGCCCAGTTGGCACCACTTGCAGGCTGTCTTTACTTTCCTACATTTGCAAGCAGCTTTACTTCACATTGTCACAGTGGCAGAAAACAGGCAGTTGGCTGTGACTGTTTTGATACCTGTTTCCAGTTGCCATAGCTACTAAAAAGCATTTTCATCGGTTACAGCTTTGTGTTAGGTGCTGTACAAACACAGGAAAATACTATTTTTCTTGTTTCAAAATAATTTTAATGACAGAGGATGAATTAAAATGAAAGCTGACCACCACAGACAGGATAGCACTGAGGCGCGTGGGGGATTCCAGATGAAGCTGGAATCTCAACAGAGTAGCAGATTAAGAAATATATATGTTAAATAACTGGAAATTCTGGGAGATATGGATGTAGTCTGGAAGTACTGATCTAGACAGATTCCAATCAGCTGATAATGATGCTTTTTATCTACTTAATTACCCCTTTTACTATAAAGGCTGGTAAATCCAATGATGGTGTTTTTAAGCTGCTTTCTCAAGTATCTTTGCATAGAATTCATGGTAAAGGCAAGTAAAGTTGAAGATACTGTGTTTATGTTATCTGAGTGTTGAATCAGTGCTGTGAATTAACTCACACTCTTTATTTTCTTTCAGATTTTCTATTTTGTACATACACTGTTTTGTATATACTGTATATGATGACTTCAGTGGGCAGTGAACGTACCCAGGGCACTCGGGACAAAATGCAAACTTCAACCACACAGCCAGTGCAACAACAGAAACAAGTAATACAGGTATGTGCTACTGTATAATAATTTTGGAGTTTGAAGTATGTAGACTTGAAGGGGATTGGCTCCAGATTGGAGGCTTGTGCGCCAGTCCCTTCCTCTCCCGATAAGAGGCAACTCTGAGGATTCATGGGTGAAGCCAGGAGTGATAGTGACTAAACCCTTGCACATACAAAGGCAGCCCTTAGGGAGTGGGACTAGGAGCACAGTGAACAGGGTGTGGTGCATCATTAAGAATGTGGTGCAATGCTTACATGGAAATTCACGCAGGAAGAGTGGTATGTGAGGAAGGTCACAGTCCCTCTCCACACAAGAGGGCAGCTCACCTAGTGGTCATCGCTCTCCTGGAAGAGCTAGACTTAGCCATGGTCTCCACTTGGCTGAAAGCTGTTGCTAGAAAGAATATGACAACCCAGATTAAGCACACACGCAAACATGCATCTGTACAGGTTTCTGGCTGTAGGGAGTGACTGAGCCTGTCGCAAATAGCAGGAGAGTAGCAGGAATACCACCTGTGTGCATCGTGAGCAGGTGGATGATCCTTCAGCTCTGCCACCAGACTGAGTGGAAGTGGAAAGATTAAGGAATATCATGGACTATGAAAGGGAGATAGACTGGTGTAGCCACACCCTGCCATCCCTGTGAGAAGTGCACTAGGGGATTCTGCAACAAGTGGAGGATCTCCTACCTTCTTGTCAGCAGACAGGAGGGGACCTAAGAGACAGGGAGTAGTGGAAACAGGTTCTTGCTTGGTGGCAGGCAAATCCCTCTTTTGGCCTTCCTCAACTTCCCAGGTGCCCTTGCACAACAGGTATAAGAGGCTCTGTAACTTGAGGGACAGGCAAATGAAGATGTTGGTGACAGTTCATCCAGGGGGTTGTCTAGGGCAAGTCAGTCAGACCTGTGCCTCCAGACTGCCTTTGTCAAGAACAAAAGAAGGGTGATTATCATAGACGACTCCCTTCTGAGGGGAACAGAGGGCCCAATATGTAAACCAGACCATATCCACAGGGAAGTCTGCTGTCTCCCTGGGGCCAGGGTTAGAGTCAACTAGGAAGTTACTTGGTCTGGTATGGCCCTGTTTATTACTGTCACAGAGTTATCTCTAAATCTGTGTCCATGACAGGGGGACAGAAGACTCACAGCCCCACTAACTGGGAAAGGGAGGAGGGAAGGGAACAAAAAGGGAAAGTAATAATAATAAATAAGAAAAAATACCACAGCAGCAATGATCTGAGGAGGAAAGTTAATTTACTAATTATAATAGCAGAAATACAAGTTATCACCGCTTTATGCACTGGTTCAACCTGGTTCTGTGGTTAATGGGGTGGGAGAACCCATGGACCCATGCCCCAGGAAATGGGGAAGAGGGGAAAGGGTAGGGAGATGGGCCTAAAAACAAAACAGTGGCAATGATCTGAGAAGGAAAGCTAGTTTACTAAATATGATATTAGAATGCAAGGTAACACAATATAATATAATAAGAATTGAAGCTAATAAATGAGTATAATCAATAGATATCAAGATGTTATAGTCACAATATAATCAAGAGAGTTAGGCAAAGTAGACAACGATCACAAAAAGAGAATTAGTGGAAGAGCTTACCCTTCGGCTGAGCTCACCACAAAACACCAATAAAGGCAATCTCCAGCAGAAATCCTTCCCTACTGGTAGCCAGCTCTTCAATAGGTCTAGGAGGGGTGCAGCCTGGCTCCCCCCCTTCCGGCAGCACAGCTGAATTGCCTTCACCTGTGCTCCTCTGGCTGACTCATGGCTCGCCTCAAGTGATCAATCAGAGGTTCAGGCCCTGACTCAGCAGCTACCATACAGTGTCCAAAAACCAAAGGGCTTACTCTAATGATGAAGGTGAGATGGCTAGGGAGTACACTCTGCAGAGATGAGCAGTCTTGTGATCTGCTAACAGTTTTATCTTTTCCTCTGAATGGAAAATGGAAACACAAAGTCCCCTGGGGTATGTAGTTCTTCTCTTCTGAGAACCAGGTACCTGGAACTACCCACAATCCACGGAACTGGAGCATTAACTCTTTAACTCACAGTGCACTACAGGATGTTATGATGTGAAATAACGATAACAAAAGCCATAAAATCATGACAAAGACCAGACCCGGCAACAACCCCTGGGGAACACTGCTAGTTACAGGCCTTTGTACTTGTACAATTACTGGAGGGGATGGTTTGACATATACATATACACCCAGAGGAAGATTAAGGCAGCAAACGAGGCCAAATGTTGTCCAATGATTTTTTACAAATTCTAAACTAGTAAGGAACGTGGGGAAGATGGGGAAGCCAGGTTAGGGTAAAGAGAGAAATCCTAGCAAACCATTTACAAATCAGAAATAGTCACCACCAGGGATCAAGCAACATCTTGTTGGTCCACAGGGAAGCAGCAAGTTGGTCAACAATGTCTTGTTGACCTGCAAGGATGCAGTTCAGTGCAGGGGGTACTCATTCTTCCTTGTAACTCCTCAGGTTTTTATCCTTTCGATAGTATCCTATTGGTTACCAGGGGCAGCAGCTGGTTGCCAGGGGCACTTCTGTTTGATTCATCAGCAGCGATGATATTTGCAACAGCATGTCCATAGTACCCATTGGGTAATCAGCAGTTGATCACGTGATTGTCAAATGGTGGGCTGCCGGGTATGCACACTGACTACATGGTGGTCCTCTTCCAAGATCACCTCCATAAGTCAGCTTGAATGCCTGAAAGAAGCAACAGCCTAAAACATACACCCAGCCACGTCTCTTACTGCTGTGCTTATGGTAACCATTAACCCCAAAAGCTTGTTGAGTAGGTTATGTCTTGGATGGGTGCCACCAAAAAAGCTTTGAGACACAAGCTTCCAGCTTCTTATAGCCTCCAACCAGACTCTGCAATGCTGATCACAATCCTCTGAGCTCTGCCAGTCAGCCAGTTCTCAATCCACCTCACCATCCATTCATCTATCCCACACTTCCTAAGTTTCATAACAAGGAATGTTGATACTAAAAGGAAGACTAGGAAAAAAACATGCTGCTGCCATGAGCCAGCAGTATGTGCTTGCAGCTCAGAAAGCTGTGTTCTGGGCTCCATCAGCAGAGGGGTGGCCAGCAGGGACAGGGAGGTGATTGTCCCCCTCTGCTCTGCTCCTGTGAGGCCCCATCTGCAGTGCTGTGTCCAGGTCTGGAGCCCCCAGTACAAGAAGGACAGGGAGCTGATGGAGAGGGTCCAGAGGAGCCACAGAGATGATCAGGGCACTGGAGCACCTCCCCTACGAGGACAGGCTGAGGGAGCTGGGCTTGTTCAGCATGGAGAAAAGAAGGCTGCGGGGTGACCTCATGGCAGCTTTCAGTATTTAAAAGGGGGTTATAAACAGGAGAGGAATCAACTTTTTACTTGGGTACATAGATAGCGATACAAGAAGGGGGAATGGTTTTAATCTCAAGGAGGGATGGTTTAGATTGGATGTCAGGGGGAAGTTCTTTACAGAGAGAGCGGTGAGGTGCTGGAACAGCTGCCCAGAGAGGTTGTGGATGCTCCATCCCTGGAGGCATTCAAGACCAGGTTGGATGGGGCCCTGGGCAGCCTGGTCTAATACCAGATCTGAAGTTTGGCAGTCGGAGCTTGATTATCTTTGGGGTTCTTTCCAACCCAAGCCATTCTATGATTGTATGGTTGCATCCTTACAGGCCTTGACAACATTCCTATATTCTTCCCAGGTGGACAGGCCCTTTTACCATACTTCATGGACCTTCTTTCCTTTTAGTTTATCCATGTGTTCCTTGCTCATCCATACAGGCCTCTTGCCACCTTTCTCTGATTTCTTACTCTTAGATATGTACCGATCTTGAGCTTGGAAGAAATGGTGTTTAAGCACCAACCAGCTCTCAGGGGCACCCTTACCTTCTAACACTCTAGTCCATGGAATACCTCCAAGTAGTTATTTAAAGAGGTCAAAGTTTGCTCTCCTGAAGTCCAGGGTAGTAATTCTACTTATTGCTTTGCTTCTTCCACACAAGATCTTGAATTCCACCATCACGTGATCGCTGCATCCCCAGATGCCCCCAACCTTCACATCCCCAACTAGTCCTTGTCAGTAAAAACAAGGTCAAGTAGCACACCCCTCCTTGTTGGCTCCTCTACCACCTGTGTCAGAAAGTTATCATCAACACATTGTACTGCCTGGACCTTGTGTGCCTGGATGTATTGCTTATCCAACAAATATCAGGATGGTTGAAGTCCCCCATAAGAACCTGTGCCAGGGATTGAGAAGCTACTTCCAGCTGTTTTGTAGAAGGTCTCATCCACCTCCTCCTCCTGATTAAGTGGCCTGTAGTATACATTCACAGTAGTGTCACCTATGTTAACCTGCCCCTTAATTCTTACCCACAAGCTCCGGGCAGAGGCTGATGCATTCTAGTTGCTCTCTCACATAAAGAGCAACTCCACCACCTTGCCTTCACCTGTGCTCCCATGGCTGACTCATTGCTCGCCTCAGGTGGTCAATCAGAGGTTCAAGCCATGATTCAATAGTTCCCATACAGCCATCCATGGCAGAATTCCAGTTATATGAACAGTCCTATCACGTTGTCACCAAGTTATCTCTAGATCTGTGTCCATGACATGGGGACAGCAGGCCGACAGGCCCACTGGTCCAAAAAGGGGAAGGGAAGGGCGAGTGTCGATGGTTTATGGGCTAGTTCGGCTCGATTCTGTGTCTAATGGGGCAGGAGACCCCCTAGGAAAGGGGAAAGGGGAAAGGGAAAGGGGGAATGGTAGGGAGATGGGAGATGGGCCTACAAACAGAACAGCAGCAATGATCTGAAGAGGAAAGTGCATTTACTAAATATGGTATTGGAATGCAAGATAGCACACTACAATGCAATATATAATTGGATTTGAGGCTAATAAAACAAATAAAATAAGAGAAAGAGTGTCTGAAACCGAAGGCCTTACTCTGAACTGAAGGCACACAGCTAGGGAGCACACCTACACACTGCCAGGCAGCAAGAGAGAGTGAGTCCCATGACTGGAAGGTCTTATCTTCCCCACTGAATGCAAAGTCCTCTGGGGTATGCAGTTCTTTTCTGAGAGCCAGGTATTCAGAAAATCAGCGGTCCATGGAAGTGGGGCATTAACTCTTGAACTCCCAGTGCTTTACATGATGTTATGATGTGGAATACTGATAACAAACATAAAATCATGACACGTCTCTGTGATCTCAGTGAGATCATGGCCCTGTAACTACACACAGATCTCTAGTTCTTCCTGTTTATTTCCCATGCTGTGAGCATTGGTATACAGGCACTTCAGGGAGGCAGAGGGTGCAGGTATCTCTAGAGGGATGCAAGAAAGCTTAAGCCAGGCTATTGGCAATGTTGTCTTTTTCAAAAAGTCCTCACAAGATCTTATTGGACAATTGAGAGGTTTTTATATACAACAGAGAATAGGGAGCAGATACAAAGAGCACAATAACACTATTTGATATAGTAAATTCTCAGCTACAAAACACTATTTTTTAACACAGACACCACCATTACTAAATTCTTGTGAATGAGCTGATCAAGATGCTCTTCATTTTGTGGCGTGGCCCTCTGGAACAGGGCTTGTCTTACATGTTGCTGTTGCCACTGCTGAAACTCAACACCCACTGCCTCACTGTACTGATATCTACTGTTTGGTCTCCATAAACATTAAGCAAGCTTCAGTGAATGTCAATGGGTATAATTTTGTCACGGAGTTGACCAGATCAATCTATGTCCGTGACAGGGGCGACAGGCCTCTGCCCTCCCCCCCCACCCCAGTCCCACAAAAATGGGAAGGAAGGAAGGGAGGAAAAGAACAGCGGCAACAATCTATGGAGGAAAACTTATTTTACTATGATATCGGAATACAAGATAACACAATAGTGTTATCTTCAATAGCGACCCGTACACTGAGACTCTGTAGAGAAATATAGTGATGCTAGGAGATACTTTAAAAAATACCTTTTTGGATGTTTGCATTTTTCAGGCAACAGCAGAACAGATTCGTCTTGCTCAGATGATCTACGATAAGAATGACACAGATTTTGAAGATAAAGTGAAACAAGTATGTTTCTTGCAGTATGGAGGTTTAATGTCCTGCAATAAGTTGTTCCTAGGCTAGCTTATGTTTTGGAGTTAGAGTGGCTGTTTCTGATTTAGATGAAAACTTTGTGCAAATGACATAACTAGGAGAAGATGCTCTTATTGGACTTTAAAAGTCTGCTTATAAGACATCCTGTGGTAATATAACTCTGGATGGTGTATTTTCCTTTGTAGACAAACCTTTCAGCCAAAACTCACTGTGCACATCTATTCCAGATTCTGTATTTCTAGTATGGTCCTGGTATTTAATGATCTTGAGAATAAAGAGTATGTTCAGCTGGTCTCCATGTACATGGTAATAATTTGTCACCTGTGTAAACTGATTTGCTAAAAATGCCAGCTGTTTTTCAGGAAAAGTAAAAAATCTAATCATAGCTTAAAAGTGTGTGTGGTTTTCTTATTTCTTTCTTTTTTCTTTTTTTAAATCTGACCTCCCAAATCCGTGTATATATTAAAATGATAGTGTTACACAATATATACACGGGTGTATATATTCAAGCTTCCATTACACAGCTATAGCTGTGATAATTTATTCAAGCAGTATTGAGTATTCAACTACCTGTTTTGCTCAGATTATTTATTTTGGTGTGCACATCACAGCTCATGTAGAACGTAGGAACACACCTAGAAGAAGAGTTATTGTGAATGCACTGATGCAGCAGAGGGGCAGATTTTCAGATGTCCTTTCTTTGGTAAAACCTTTTCTGAAGCACTGTTAACTGATTTTTGTTGTTCTTGTTTCTAAACTTTTTTGGCTGCTATGCCAGAAGTGAAGTCTTATATGTTCTGAAGCCAAAGGCCCCTGATCAATAGTGTCTGTAGTCCTGCTGATAGGAAGGCTAAGAATTAAATTCTTCATAGGAAATGTACAATGTTTTACACACACATGTATATTTCTAGCTCATATTTTGTTTTTTTTTCCTCTTTGGGTGGAGGTACTAGATGCCTCATGACAGATTCTTGATTATTATCCATCTTACACTGTAGGATGTGAACTGTAAGTCCACAGGACATAACTGAGTAACAGCTTTCTTAAGCAGCCATTGCTTAGCCTGTTTTTGTCCTGCTAAAACGGATTGAAGGAGCTGATCTGACTGAAAACAATTAACCTTTTTCTTAGTCTGGATGTTTTCTCCAGATGGATCTGTTCTCTACCACATTTTACTTGATGACTGTGTTTACAGAGTGAGATAAGGAGGGGGATGTCTTGGTCTGTCTTGGTCTCTTACATCATTACCTTCATATACAGCTATGTCTGGGGTGACAGCATTTGCTGTAGGCATTGGGTTAAAGGGGGAAAAAAAGTGTTTTCTTGATTACTATTTAAATTTCTGTTTCATCCTGCCTCTTACGTGAATCCTAAGCGGATCTGTGAAATGTAGATAATTTTATTCAGGATTTTAAATTGCTCTGACACAACTGCATGCTTTCTTGGAATCTGTGGTGGTGCTAACTCTTACTTTATGATGATAATTTGGATATTTTAATGTGTGACTTTTACTACCAGCTTATTGAAGTGACGGGGAAAAACCAGGATGAGTGTATAGTGGCACTACATGATTGTAATGGGGATATGAACAGAGCAATCAACATACTTCTAGAAGGAAGTTCAGACACGGTAAGTTTTAACTTCTATATTAAACTGCTCTTTTTGCTTGTTGTGCCTTTCTACTTTCAGAGAGTGATTGGGAAAATCATTTAGGAAGATTTCTATTTTTATATCTTCAGTAAAATTTCTCTGAAGGAAATGGGGAGGACCAGGGCAGCTTTTCTGTCTTGTCCATATCTTAGAGTAGGCTGAACCTTGACAATATTGTGGTTGTTCTGCTGGTGTCCTGCAATCTTCTAGCTTTTATTTGTGTGCAACTATTTTCATAGAATCATAGCATCATAGAATCACCAGGTTGGAAACAACCTGCAAGATCACCTAGTCCAACCGCCCTCCCATCACCATTGCTACCACAAGCACTAAGCCACATCTCCAGCTCCTCATCCAGGCGCCTCTTGAACACTGCTGGGAATGGCGACTCCACCACCTCCCTGTGCAGCCATTGCAGTGCCTGACCACCATCTGAGAGAAAAAGTTCTTCCTTATGTGTAATCTAAACCTCCTCTGGTACAACCTGTGGCCATTCCCCCGGGTCCTGTTTGTTGCCTGGGAGAAGAGGTCAAACCCCTCCTCATCACAGCCTCCCTTCAGGAAGTTGTACAGTGCAATGAGGTCTCCCCTGAGCCTCCTCTTTTCCACACTGAACAATCCCAGCTCCCTCAGCCACTCCTCATAAGACTTGTGCTCCAGACCCCTCACCAGTTTCATTGCCCTTCTCTGCACACGCTCCAGGACCTCAATGTCTTTCTTGTAGTGAGGGCCCAACACTGAACACAGTACTCAAGGTGCAGCCTCACCAGAGCTGAGTGCAGGGGATGATCACCTCCCTGCTCTGCTGGCCACACTATTTCTAATGCAGGCCAGGATGCCGTCGGCCCTCTTGGCCACCTGGGCACACTGTGGGCTCCTGTTCAGCCAAGCACCAACCAACACCCCCAGGTCCCTTTCCTCTTCACACTCATCCAGCCACTCATCCCCAAGCCTGTAGCGCTGCATGGGGTTGTTGTGCCCAAAGTGCAGGACCTGACACCTGGCCTTGTTGAACCTCATCCCATTCATCTCAGCCCAGCGATCCAGCTTATCTAAATCCCTCTGAAGGGAGTTTTAACTCTACTCCAAAACTCAGTGCTCTGTGGGACATTGTCCTGTTTTATGCTAACCTGTTTGTAATTCATAGAATCATTTGAGCTGGAAGAGACTTGTCACGGAGTTGACCAGATCAATTTACGTCCGAGACGGGGCAACAGGCCTCTGCCCTCCCCCCCACCCCAGTCCCACAGAAATGGGAAGGAAGGAAGGGAGGAAAAGAACAGCGGCAACAATCTATGGAGGAAAACTTATTTTACTATAATATTGGAATACAAAATAACACAATATATACGATTTAATTGAAATTGAGATTAATAAATCAGACAAGATAAGAGAGAGAGAGTTCTTGGGACCGAGTCAAACCTGAAAAGCTTGGACCGGCCAGGAAAGCACCTCCAGCACCCACTGCAAGGCAGCAAGAGAGCGCCCCCCCACCCGGAAGGGCCAGATCCCGTGACTGCTGTAATGTACAGGGATAGGTAGCTGGGATTGGGGCAGTGACACTTCAATGCCCCGTACACTACATGATGTTTTGATGTGGAATACTGAAACCCAAAAACAAAAAAAACATAGAACCATGACAAGACTTTAAAGGTCATCTAGTCCAGCTCCCCTGAAATGAACAAGGACATCTACAGCTCAATCAGGTTGCTCAGAGACCTGTCCAGCCTGACCTTGAACACCCATTCACCACTTCTCTGTGAATCCTGTTCCAGTGCTTCAGTACCCTGTAGTATTATTGTTTTTACTATGTAGTATTATAGTGTAGTACTATTCTGTAGTACCTCCATAACCACGAGACCTGAAAGTAGGTGATACTGTGCCACGAAAAGTAACCTCTATAAACCTAAAAGTGGGAGAAAGCATGAAGTCGTAACTTCTGAAGGAGTACATTGGCAAATACTGAGGTTGGAGAAGGCTTCTCCATCTGAAAGATGAATTGAAAACTAGCAATGTCAGAAGAGGATACAGCAAGTAATAGCTTTTGTCATTGTGTTGCTCCTCAGTTTGAATTAATTGAGAAACAGAGAAAAGTGTACTGTGTATAACAATGTCACTTACAGTGTTGCATTACGTTTTTTTTATCCCAAGTGTTATCAGGAAATTGTTTGAAGTTTTTGCTGGAGGGACTTCTTACAGTTTATCTGAGATAGTAAACTAGATTCCATCTCATCTAAATTGGTAGAGAAACTTGGACTTCCTTTCTTAGTTTCCTCATTAATAATAGGCAGTAGTATACATCCTGATAAAACACAGGAAATACTGAACATTCAGCACTAACCTTGCACCCCCTCAAATCTGGGATATATATCATTCTAGCTAAGGGAACTTCATTTTCTATCCCTTATATTTGTAAGAGTTGAGGTCATCTAAAGCACAAAAGTGTGTAATGCTGAATGTGTAAGTTGGTAGTAGAAGAGAGCATTTCACTTTGATTAAAACTATCTTGTTTGTATCTTGTTAAATCAGACTTTTTTAATGTTCTCTTGTATTTTTCATTTTCTAGTTAAGAAGTTTTCTGATTGAAAAAAAAATGTTAAGTGCTTTCTTACCAAATTGTTATAACTAATCATGACATGAAAGAAACTTTCTGAACTCTTTTATCAGTGACAGAATACATCCATGTGTTCTGCGATGTTGACAAGTTCCTTTGAACTCATTCTTCATAGAGGAAAAGAAACTCAGAAACAAATACAGAGAACTTAAAGAACTCAACAAAGGAGGAGGAAAGAATATTAATTAGAAGGGTTTACATCAGTGCATGAAGACATATTGTCCTTTGTGCTGTGAACTTCCAACTTGAAGGGTTTTTTGTGAGCCCATTATACTTGAGAACACTTTTACCACGAATTTGATATAAAGTTGGAAGCCAAAGTACTGCTTGTTCCTGAATGCAGATTCCCAAATTTGTTTCTAACTCTGCTTTTTTTTTTTTTTTTTTTTTTTTTTAAAAAACTTCATTTAGAAGATGTATCTATCTAATTTGAGGAATTAGAAGAGCGAGGAGCGATAGCTACGAAGACTATTTATAATTTCTTCAATACTCTACTATTTTTTTCTTTTTATAATGCTATGATCCTTAAAACTTGTAACGTTTATGAAGACTTTTCACTTGCAATGGTTAGGACAGTCTGGCTTGGGATGTACGTTGGGGGAGAATAGAGAAGGGCATGTTTCTTTGACTAAGACTTTTAACTTCCTACAGGAGTAAGAGCTATTTTATGCCCAACCATATTTTAGGTGCTAAAGCTTTTGAAGGTAGATTAAAGAGAGACCCTTCTGTTCTTTTTTTTGTTTTTTTTTTTTTTTGTTGTTTGTTTGTTTGTTTTTCCCTGTGATTAGACCAGCAAGAAGGCTTCTGTCATATCTTTTCAAGGATCAGGTCCACAACCATAGTTTGGGTTGCCTCAGAAATCCTCAGCCGAAATTAGTCAGTTAACTTCTTTACAATGACAGGAAGTGTTGATAGTCTGTGATGCATACTAATGCCCAGAGATGGTGCCGTTCCCAACTTCTTGAAGTTTTCTTCAAAATTATATATTTTTTCCTATAGAAATAGAAACAAATGACTTTACAAATCCTGAAAGCCTTGTAATTGTCTGAAATTCTTATTTGCAGGAAAGCATGGGGATCTGATGCTTCCATAATCCTCCTTTTACTGATACTTCCCAGGTTATATAAAGCCTTACTAAAATTACTAGAGCCTGCTTTTATTTAAGATTTGCCAAATCATCCAGTTTGGGGTATTTCTTAAAACAAAGAGGTGAAAAGACTGAAATAGTGAATTAGTGCATTCTGAACAGTCTAGATTTGATTCTTCAGTTGTTGGTGCAGTTACTTTTTAATTATCCTTTGTAATATCTGTAAAAGTATTGGAGCATCTTAGCCTGTATAACTGTATTACAAACGTAATCAGGTGAAGCCACATGGTGGCTACTGGAGGAGACTGAGTTTTCTGTCACACAAATAACATAGCGCTGCTCAAACAAGCAACTTCATACTTCTAATTTGCACCATCTGCCCAGAATATAAGCCCCAGAAGTAGGGACATTAAAAGTATTTGCCATCTTAATGGTTTCCAAATAATACCTTTCTTTGCTTTGCAATTATGGCTCAATAGACTAACCATGCAATTGCATAATATGAGTTGCTGTGCTATTCTTAGCAAAGGTTTTAGTAATTTTGTTTTTGACTCTTACAGATGTTCATATGGAGCTGATATTATCACTGAATTTATTTTAAGGATGGATTTCTATATTATATTAAAGCTGAATTCTGCTGTTTGGACCTTGGTCCTTTGTCTTGTTTAAGCGTAGTATTTCTTGGATTTTACTCTGTGTGATGAGCTGTAGCTGCGAGTTGGAAGTATACAGCGTTCTCTTTCTTTTAAAAATTTTGTATCTAATTCTGTTCTATTTAAATAGACTTCTTGGGAGACTGTAGGGGGAAAGAAGAAAAGCCTTGGAAAGGAAAGTTCAGAAAACAAAGAGAACAGAGAAAAACGAGGAGACAGAGAAGTGAGTCGTGGGCGGGGAAGTTCCAACAGACGGGGAAGAGGAGGCAGCCATGGCCAAGAGTGTATGTATAGGGGTTCATTTTAAAAAAGCCTCAGATGTTTTTCTTGCAGCTGAAAATGATTGAGAGCAAATGCTTAATGGAATAAAGTCCAGAGCTATACCTCAGTGCTGAAATGGTTATAACTTGTTTATGCAACACATATGCTTGATCTGTCTACATGATTTGATTTTAGAATGGTCTGTGCTTGTATTTTTCAGAGGTAACTCACTTTAATTTCAATTTCTGTCCTTTTTGATTAATTGATCTTACACAACTTACTGTTCTTTATGCAAGTTTTAGAATTGAATCTTTAAGAGTGCTCAATAGCAAATGTCACTGCACAGCTGATACATTTTTTCATTTGCTTTAATGAAAAAAAATTTAGCTTTGACCATCTCCTTTTATGAGTGGGAAAGCCTGAAGGTGAGAACATCTTCTCATAAGGGGAATGAAAAGACTGGGGATATTATTTAGCTCTAGCATATATTACTTACATAACTCAGCCACAGGTGAGTTTCTACAAAAGAGAAAATATTTTGTGAACTGAAACACTCTTTAAAAAAAAATTGCTACAGTTCATACAGGTGCAATAGTATGCTGTGCAAAAGAGAACTGATGTTTTCCAAATTAGGTAGCATTGCAATAAATCATTACTGGATACATATTGCCTTTTTCCTTTAAGTTTTATCAGAAATATTGAAGTGTTATGTATTGCCTATAATGACTATAAACAACATTGAGAAATGAGCAGAGAACAGAGAGGGGAGGGAGGGAAAAAGCAAGAAAGATATTTACAATGTTAGCCAACTTTTCTAATTTGTTATTGAAATATATTCAGGTATTGTGCCAATGGAAGCACTGAGAACCTTTGTAGAGTAGATTAACACCAAAATTAAAGTGAGGAGCAAGGTTTTTGCCAGATGCAACTTAATTCTTTCCTAAACTGGAACTAAAGATTTTTTTTTAGCTGATTATCAACTCTTTATATTCTCTTTCCATCTTTATATGCATTTGTCACGGAGTTGACCAGATCAATCTATGTCCGTGACAGGGGCAACAGGCCTCTGCCCTCCCCCCCCACCCCAGTCCCACAAAAATGGGAAGGAAGGAAGGGAGGAAAAGAACAACGGCAACAATCTATGGAGGAAAACTTATTTTACTATAATATCGGAATACAAGATAACACAATATATACAATTTAATTGAAATTGAGATTAATAAATCAGACAAGATGAGAGAGAGAGTTCTTGGGACCGAGTCAAACCTGAAAAGCTTGGAACGGCCAGGAAAGCACCTCCAGCACCCACTGCCAGGCAGCAAGAGAGCGCCCCCCCACCCGGAAGGGCCAGATCCCGTGACTGCTGTAATGTACAGGGATAGGTAGCTGGGATTGGGGCAGTGACACTTCAATGCCCCGTACACTGCATGATGTTTTGATGTGGAATACTGAAACCCAAAATAAAACAAACAAACAAAAAAACATAGAACCATGACAGCATTCTTTAACAACTTCGTTGCTGCTATTAGAACAAATTGTGCAGTACAAAAATCTCAGCAGTGTTTTAAGCAGACAGTGTATTTTTCCTTCAGGAAGCCAACCATCTTTCAGAATACCTACTCAGCAGTTTTCCACAAAGTAGAAGTTGTGCGTTTCAGACATATTGTCTTATGTCATCATCCCTATCTTATTTAAATACAGAGGAGAGTTAAGTTTCCCTGGTTGCATAGGGACGTGAAACAGACAGGAGAAGAGTGGGCATTCTTGGTTAACTCTTGTTCTTTCACTGTTGCCAACCAGCACATTATCAAGAAAGTGAAATATGAGACAGATTTACTTCCTGACTCTTTAGAGGTGAGACCATAATTGATTTAAAAGCGTAGACTGCAAAACACTATACTTCAAAAAAAAAAAAAAAAAAAAGTACTGTCTGCTGAAAGACATTAATCTCTAATTAGAGATTTTGCTTCCTTGCTGTCCAATCCAAAGTAAACAAATAACTCTGAAAAATCCTGCATTTTCTTTCGGAGTACAAGAAAATACAGCCATCTGCTTGACATGTATGAATCTCTAAAGTTTCTCTTAAGTTGTCTTTTCTCCACAGTTAAAGCTGAAGAGAACGGAGTGGACAACAATCAAGGAGACAGACTTTCAGACCGTGGAAAACATGGCCGTGGGAGAGGTGAGATGGTGGCATTTGTGTGGGACTGGTACTTACTGGTTTCATTTCCTGATATGGAACTCTATAATTTATTTAAAACCTTATTTTTAAGCATTTGTTGGTTATCCTTTGATTCTATAAGCACTTCAGCCACATTTAATTAGGTCCCTTCCCCCTCCCATACCCCTTTTTATTGTTGGATCTCCAGGTGACATAGAGGAGATATGTGTCAATTATTTTATGGCAGGATTTTTTGTGTGAGCGACTGGTGTGCTCTAGCTATGGAGAGCTCTTTTTCCAGTTTTTATCATGCCAGTCTCCTGTGAGTGACTGGACTCCTCAACCTTGGTAGCAGGAGAGTACAGGATTCCATCTATAGATCAATTGGAGGGATTTGACACGTACTTGTCATTTCTTTTGGGAGAATTCTGTTGTCATGCTTACCTTCTGTTTTCAGTAGCCATTCAGAGCACTTGCCACCTTAGAGGCATTTAGAAAAGAGGAGTTTGATATGGAATTGTTCACGAGGAGAGCTGTGGAAAGAACACTGTGGAGTCACAAGTACAACTCCTATTGTACCCTACAGAAAAGAAAGGAAAGATGTTGGATTTAATGTGGAAACAAGGGATGCATAGTTGTTTTGAATGTTCATGAGATCAAGCAGAAAAAAGCTTGTTTTTCTTGGAACAAGAAGGGAAGTGGGTAACCTAGGAATGGTACAAATTGTAAGGGGAAAATAGATGTTAATTAATAATAAAAGATATTAAACAATTGTGACCACAAAATGCTGGAGTTCAAGATCCTTCAGGAGTCAAAGAGGTTGTGCAACAAGCTTGCTACTCTGGACTTCACGAGCACAGACTGTGAACTCTCCAGGGAAATGCTTGGGAGAGTGACATGGGATAAAGCCCTGGAGGGAAGAGGGGCACAAGAAAGCCAGTCAATAATCAATAACCACCCCCTCCAAGATCAAAAGCAGTACATCCTCAGAAACAGAAAGACAAGTAAAAACACCAAGAGGCCTCAGTGGATCAACAAGGAGCCCCTGGACTTACTTGTGCAAAAAAAGAAAATCTATAAGGAGTGAAAGCAGAAACAAGTTACCTAGGAGGATGCACAATCAATGAATATTAAGATGCTGTAATTACAAAATAAACAAGAGACTTTGGCAAAACAGAAAATGACAACAAAAAGAGAAAAGACAGAAAGCTTACCCCTATCCTGGACTCACTCACAAAACATGAGCAGAGCTAATCTCCAGAAAAGATCCCTTCCCACCGGTAGCCAGCTCTTCAATAGGTCTAGGAGGGGTGCAGCCTGGCTCCCCCCCTTCCAGCAGCACAGGTGAATTGCCTTCACCTGTGCTCCTCTGGCTGACTCAAGGCTCACCTCAGGTGATCAGTCAGAGGTTCAGGCCCTGACTCAGCAGTTCCCATACACTCCACCCCTTCAAGGCATGAACCAATGATCAGGTTAACTAAAGGGTAAGCTTTCCCTAATACAGAGAACCACTATATCGCGACGCTTATACAATTTTATCGTGACGCGTGTTGATACAATTCAGGATGAGTGATGATCAGTGGATGCCCATATTCTTCTATGGGCCAGTGCTCGATGATGTGACTGGAGACATGTGGCAGTGAGGTGCAGGTCCGTTCTATGTTCCATCAGTCCCATGCAGACCATCACCAGGTGTTGTATGTGATCTGACAGCAACACTGGAACACTTGATGGCATTTTGTTCCTTCCGGTGGTCCTGAAGGCTCACAGACTCACGGGGAGTAATGCAGATGTTTCACAGGTACCAGGAGGGGAAGGTCTGCTCTCCAGGGCATGATACAGGCCGTATTTCTATCCTGGGTCAACGCTTCCACTTGTACTGGGGCACGTCCTGGCCGCCTGTACCACACCTTCTGGCCAGATGTCTGTGGCTGCATAATGATATCAGGCACCAAAGGAGGTGTCCTGATCTGCCACAGGGACACGATGGGGGTCCCTTTAGCAATAAAGATCGGAGTGTTGACCACAACATCAGTAGGCCATGTACCTATTACTGGAGGGACTACTGAGCCTCCCACCTCCAATAGTCTCCCCCAAGGTGCAAGTAGGCCACACCACTTGGGTCCTACCTGCACCTTCCAGGGCCATTTTATTTTATGGGTACCTGGATCTAAATTCTCAGGGGCAGGGAGCAGAAGATTATTTTCGTTACCAATCTGGGGTCTTACCTGATGATCAGTGCCCGTAATTTGGATCCTAAGCGGGGTGGCCCATGTCGTCTGCAACATTCTCAGGGCACTGGGTCTGCCATCTCGAGGTCTTTCATTCAGGTCCCGCAGGGTTTCATACAGTCTTTTTGTCCACCCCTGCAGGGACTGGGAGTCTGTCTTCAGGGCAGCCTTAAGAATACCGTTATAACGTCCGATGAGGCCTGCCCCTGTTGGATTATATGGCAGGTGGAATCACCATTCGATGTTACTTTCTTCTGCCCAGTGCTGTATCATTGCACCTGTAAAATGAGTCCCTTGGTCGCTCTCGATGACTTGAGGTGTCCCGTAGGCAGACATCAGTTTAGCGAGTGCCTTGATGGTATATGCCTGGTTTGCTTTCGGTACTGGATAGGCCTGCAGTAGCCCACTTGCAGTGTCGACACAGGTCAGGGTGTATCTTGCCCCTTCAGAGCAAGGAAAAGGCCCGATGTAATCGACCTGCCATGGCTGGAGAGGATTGTGTCCCCTAGCAAGATGGGCTGTTGTTTCGGGCAACGATCTCGGTCTCATCTTGGAGCAAGTGTCGCATCCCGGCATGCCTGGACGATATCAGATAGTTGTACGGGCAGTCCCCATGCTTTAGCAGCTGCCCACATTGTCTTTTGTCCAGCATGACGTAGCTTCTGATGTAACCAGCAGGCAATGTTCTCAGATGGTGAATTCTCAATCCATCGAACTCGGGCCAGTGTGTCGGCTTCATCGTTTCCCGGTGACTGTAGGGGCTGATGACCAGAAACATGGTAGACACGTACAGTCCTGTGTTTGACCATATTCCATATATCTAACCACATGTCTTTGCCCCAGATCAGTCAGGCGTGGATTGTCCATTCCTGGGTGGCCCACTGTGCAATCCAAAGAGTGAGCCCCCGGTACACAGCCCAACTATCTGTGCAGATGTTCAGGATACCATCACCGGGTTCCTTGGTTATAACCATCCACACGGCTCGCAGTTCTGCCCATTGGCTGCTCTGACCATCCCCCTCATCGAACCAGATTATCTTGGTGGAAGGATGGTGTGCTATTGCTCTCCACTTGCTCGGGTTGCCCTTGCTGGACCCATCTGTGTACCAGGCATCTTCAGGGATAGGATATTTTCCCTCCTGAACGGGACTCTTCTCTGGTGGAGCGACCAGTATTTGTTTTGGTGCATCACTGTGATACTAACTGGGCCTAGGATCTTCTGGAGTTCTTCTTTCAAGGGTGATGAAGACAGACTGCTCCTTTGGCTGAGGTAGGCAACCCATCGTGCCACTGTTTGTGCTTGGGCCAACTGCCTTAGGAAGGTGGGTCAGATCTTTCACCCACCCCTGAATTGTCGGTGGTCTTAACTATGATTTCAGCCGTTTGAGTTATTGGCTCTACTGCCTGTAATGCTGAGTAGGCAGCCAATAATTGTTTTTTAGTCATACTGTATCTTTCTTCTGCTCCGTGCCAGACCTGAGACCAAAACCCAGCAGGGGTTCAAATGGAATTCTGGTGCTGTCATGGGCCCCAGCCAAATCTGGAGTGACATGAACATCCAATTCAGCTTGAAGGGTAGGATTGAATCCTGTGCCTGGGCCTGTTTAGCAGCTAGCTTTGCTTGCTGGAATGCCTCTTGTTCCATTCTCTCCCAGTCCCATTTTTGGCCTTTCGTTGTGAGTCAGTATAAAGACCTCAGCAGCTGCGTTAAGTGGGGTACAAAGGAGCACCAATATCCCAACAGACCCAAAAATTCTTGTAGCTGTCTTGGTGTGGTAGGGACTGGGAATGCCTGAACCTTGTCTATTATTGCACTGGGTAGTACTTTGGTCTTTCCCAACCAAATTACACCTAGGAATTTCAACAACAAGCCTGGTCCTTGCACCATTTGTGGGTTTATAGCCCACCCTTTCTCCTGTAGATAGGTAGTCAATGAGTCTACTGCCTTTCCTAATGCCTCCTGTGAGTCAGATGTCAGCATGAGATCATCAATATAGTGATACAGTTCAATGTTATTGGGATATCAGTGTGTCCATCAGGGAGACAATATTGGGTATGTGTCATGGAGTTGACCAGATCAATCTATGTTTGTGACAGGGGCAACAGGCCTCTGCCCTCCCCCCCCACCCCAGTCCCACAAAAAATGGGAAGGAAGGAAGGGAGGAAAGAACAGTGGCAACAATCTATGGAGGAAAACTTATTTTACTATGATACCGGAATACAAGATAACACAATATATACAATTTAATTGAAATTGAGATTAATAAATCAGACAAGATGAGAGAGAGAGAGTTCCCGGGACCGATTCAAACCTGAAAAGCTTGGAACGGCCAGGAAAGCACCTCCAGCACCCACTGCCAGGCAGCAAGAGAGCGCCCCCCCACCCGGAAGGGCCAGATCCCGTGACTGCTGTAATGTACAGGGATAGGTACCTGGGATTGGGGCAGTGACACTTTAATGCCCCGTGCACTACATGATGTTTTGATGTGGAATACTGAAACCCAAAATAAAACAAACAAACAAAAAAACAGAACCATGACAGTATGGCTGCATGAATGGGCAATTTCATGATGGGAAATTCATCAATTCTCTGTAATTCACTGTCATTCTCCATGTGCCGTCTGACTTCCATACTGGCCATAGGGGGGAATTGGCTGTGTGCAGATCTTATGATCACTACTTTTTTGAGTTCCTGCACTGTTCTAGAGATTTTCTTTTGCCCCCCCCCAGGAGTCCATACTGTTTAGCATTGGTAATCCAGCATGGATCTGGTAGGCAAATAGGCTCATGTTTTGCACAGCCTCTTAATATCGCCTGCACCACCCAGATGCTAATACATCTCTCTCTCAGTCTGAACTCTCCCACAGTCATCTGGAGAGCCAGACCCCATAGCATATCTATGCCCAGTATATACTCTGGAACTGGGGCAGAAGACACCTTATACTCCTTGGTATGGGAAACACCCAACCCCCAACTTCAACTATGTCTGGGTTACAGGGATGGTCTGTCCTCCAAAACAACCAGTCATCCCCTATCACCATGAAATTTAATCAGATCACCATAAATAATCAAAGTTTCTGTGCCCGTATCTACTAATGCCATCACTCACTGTATGTTCTTCAGGGACCAAAAAATGGTCAATTCAACATCTAGCTTCTGGTCCTGTCTGGGAGCCCTAGGTGCAGGAGGCCTGGCATCCCCCGTCATGCAAGTAACTGTGCTATTTCCAATTCTTTTTCCTCAGGTAGCTCGGGCATAGTGACCCGGATCACTTGAGGAAACTTTTTCCTTTTGTTAGGAACTAGGAAATCTTCTAGGTTCCATGTTCTCATTGGTACTTGTTCAGTAATGCTTAGCCCTGCTTTTTTTGGGGATATTTTGAAACTCCTGATTGTCCTTCAACTGCCTCCATAGCTGGAGGAGGACATGATTGGGCTGGCAATCAGTTTTTGCAAATTGAATCCCAGCCTGGATTATGCCATTAAACATTTATTTTCGGGATACCCGTATGGGTCCTGATTGAGATATTCACCAAGCAGGTATCCTATTTTTAGTTACAGGGAGGACCTCTACTCTTTCCAACATTCAGATATTGCACCTGGTCCAAAGGTGCTCTGTCTCCCCTAGATCAGCCACCAGCTGGGCAGCTTACTGGATAATGGCTTCTGAGGCCACTAAAGGGTTCAGTATGGACACCAGCGTACCATACTGATGGGGAGGTACCTGTTTTAAGATGAGGTCCATCATCCCTGCTGAGAACTTAACCAGATCTGGACTCTCAAAGGTGTCATCATAAATCACCTCCTTCATTCCCAGTTCCCTGGTATAATTTTGAAGTTCCTCCACTGAGGTGCAGAGATCAGTATTTATAACCTAATGAGGTTCAGTGAGGCGAGG